CAACTGTGCTTAAACCAATGATCATACCGGCGTTGAGACATTGATTGATCGCCGAACTGAAGTGGACGTGTGCAATTTGTTGACCTGACGTATTTTCAGCGGGCGGTGATTTGTGCGGTGCATAATGTAGCTGCCTGCCGCAGGCGGGGGCTGCTTACACATCTCAGTAAGTCATCAGTGCCGGAACTTATGCGAGGCAGGTACCGCGTTGCACGAAGTGATTTACTACGTTTCGGACCTTTTGTACAGCTGAATTTGCTCTTGATTGGCAACGGGAAATTACTGGTTGTAATTGCATAGCTGTGTGTGTCACATGCTTGTCCAGAGAGACGACAGACGTGAGAATGTCTCAGTGTTGCACCCATAAGAATGCCTACATAATCCTTTCACCCGAGAGGTCATTAGTTGTGCCAATGTACCATCGGCTGCCGACGACCCCGATCACCTGACAAAGCACGTCCTCAGACGACAGCCTGAAAGGGACTGTACTGTTCGTACACGTCTTGCATTCAAAAACCAAGTCCAGTCACTCTAGGCATTATACCTTCACCAAATGCGTTCATCTTGCTAAGAAGCTACAAATGCGACTCTGTTTCGTTACTACCAGCACCGAAGAATCTGCGCCTTAATTAGAGCTGAGTAGATTGATTTTCAAGCGGACTATTGGGTGCAACAGTGTTTTACTATGGAGCGTGTGCTTATCATGCTTAATTTTGTATAAAATCTTAATTTTTGAAATTTGACGCCCTAATTTGTCCCTAATTTCTTCCGTTTTCATGGATCTCATAATTGTGAGGGTGCCGTAGAGGCCACATTAGGAAGCAGACATTGAACTCCGTTCTCAGTTCAACAGTCAGTCACTCCACACAAAACATACTGAGCTGGCTACGAGGTCTAAGTTGAATCGTCTATTGGCAACCTTCCATGCCATGGCTGTTCGCGAACCGGGATATGTACAGGCGCTTCATTGAGGAGTACGCTGAAATGCCGTGTGGAATTACAGGCAATAAAGGACTAACATTATCCACTGTCGCCTATGCTGTCATGTGACATCCGCTTCAGCAGCGCGTTTCAAACTTTGCCTTTTTTGTTTTCTTTGCCTAGGTCGATACCTACTGCTGAACTGTATGGCCAATCAGCTGCGTTATCCAAACTCTTACACCTACTACTTCTCCTACACCATCCTCTACCTCTTCTCGGAACAATCGAAAGAGCAGGTGAAAGAGCAAATTAGTCGCGTGCTGATGGAGCGACTGATTGTTAATCGACCCCACCCCTGGGGCCTGCTGATGACGTCGGCGGAGTTGTTGCGCAATCCTGCCTACCGCTTCTGGGAGCATGAATTCGCACGCTGCCACAGTGAAATGGAGATGTGAGTGGCTTTCTTTTTAAAACTTCGACGAATATGCTATTTCCCAGGTCCTGCTGTTTAACCGCCCCTGGTTAGATAATGAGTTTAGACCGTCGTGAGACAGGTTATTTTTACCTAACTGATGGTTGAACCGGGTAAACTGTGAAGCACAATCTGATCGTTGCAATGGTAATCCTGGTTAGTACGAGAGGAACCGCAGGGTTAGGCATTTGGTACATGTGCCTGTTCGAGCGGCCATCTGAAGGATTAAGACAGAACACATATAGGTCTAAATCCCGTCCAGAGATGCGCAACGATACATTTTGGCTAGCCATGTAGTTGGACAGATATGTAGTACTTTCTGGTCTGGTTTCATTCGGATGGGGCCAGCGTGCCTCACCGAACCTAATCGGTCTGGTAATGTTATGCCAGAGTTGTAACCCTAACCACATGCGCCGGGCGATATTGTTGTGGGGCTCGACACGCTATCCAATTTTGGTATGAGCGTGGTGGCACTAAATCGTTTGTAGACGACTTACTGTTTTGTCGGGTAGACGTGAGTATTCGAGCAGCTATCACACTGCGAGTTATTGAGTCCTATCTCTATGCGTGTTGTTCTTCGGGCCCTTCAGACTAACGCAGTAGTCCGTTTCTGACAACCATCGAAAATGCTAGAGGTTTTTTGTTGACTGAGTCACGTTATTCAACTGAAAATGCACACCTCCTGATGGCCGTGTTGGAGGGAGACCGACACGTCCGGTGTCGCGTCGTCAGGCCCCTCTTGGTCTGTCTTTTGGCCCTGTACAAGTGTCAATCTTCAGACCATTGTAGTGATTCACCTTGTTTGGCTTTACCGTCTAGAAGATTGGTATTGGTCGGCGATTGCTGGACACGCGCAGTCTGGTGTTCACCTTGGTTCTTGTCGGACAACCCCTTGCGTCCAGGTAGTGCAAATTCGGAAGCCTTTATGCGTATCTACTTGTACGACCAAACGATGGAATCGGGAACGGTCCAGGCTGCCTGCGTGAGTCTTTCCGTTTCGCTAGTAAACTGTGGTCCTCGTCGACGATCGCACAGCGCTGACTGGACAGTGTTTGAGGTTTATTACCGCTAAGGGGTGATGAGTGTGGCCATCTGGTCCGCCATTCAGGGTAGGCAATGACGGAAAATCTGGCTGGAAACTGTGTAGACGCAGATATGATTGCTGAGACAAAAATGTTATTCGCCTGACGCTTTTAAATTCATCGCGGCTACATTATTAGAGACAATAGCAGAAGCGGGTAATTCATGCATAGGGAGTTGCAGTATTTATAGGATACATTCGCTATGCTACTGCGCACTTATGAAAATTAACGGCTCCTAGCCCTCTATCGAGGATAGTTGCCCGCATGCGCGATAATTCCTTGATGGCCGGACTGCGGGTTGTGACCTGTTGCACTTTCCTCACCCGTGCTGGACGTGCTGATTGCTGGGTCATCTGGCTCACTGGCGCTAGAGGACACATTCAGCGACGTTCTCCTCAATTAATTGGTGGAAACTGTCATCCGGGTGTCGGTAAATTCTCAAAATCGACCGCTTAACGAGCACATTTGCCGTTTTCCTCCTGGACAGATTCCACTAACCTTGCACTGCGACCACAGCACATACGTGGAGTGCCTACAAGGGGGCTGAAAAGTCGGATTAATTCGACATTATTAACACTATTCAACAATAGCTCTGGAGTAGTGGTGGGGGTTGCCGCATTTACGGGATACAGTGCGGTCTGGGGGTTTAGGTGAAGGGACCTAATTGTATTTCAGTCCAGACTTCTAATACCTTTCGGTCTGCGCGGCTTTCACTCTCCACAACGTCTCCTTTACCATGATCTGCG